TCTTCATCAGGGATAGCAGATTGGTAAAAATACCTCTCGATGGTTGAGTTCGTCATGAACAACAGCGTCTCCCAGTCTATGGGGTACAAGCCATTCTACCTAGACTATGGTTATGAGCCGTGTACACCCATCGACTTAATTCGGGATGCAGACACCACACGCATCGAGGGTGTCAATGTTTTCATATCCCGAATGCAGAAGACTTTCAAGAGGGCAACGCAGTATGTCCATCAGGCTCAACAACGACAGAACTCCCTCGCCGACCAGCAACGAAGAGAGCAGGTATTCCATAGTGGAGATCAGGTGCTTCTCAGCACACAACATCTGACATTGAAGAACGCACCTGTCAGCAAGCTGAGGAAGAGATTCGTAGGTCCATTCTTTGTGACCCGTAGAGTCGGACCGGTGGCCTACGAACTACATCTTCCTACTTCGTGGAAGATCCACAGAATTTTTCACACGAGCTTGCTACGACCATTCCGAATGTCGGGATGGACACCCGCGACTATTACTGAAAAAGAAGAGGAGGTCGAGCCTAAGGATAATGAGCCCTATGATGTAGAGAAACTTCCGCGGTGGTATTGGAGAGGACCCAGACAAAGGAGGGTCAAAGAATATTTAGTCCTTTGGAAGGACTGGTTAATCGATGACGCTTCCTGGGTGCCAGAGGAAAATTTCGATCACCCAAGGGAATTGAGGAAAATGATCGCCCGGGACAAACCCATTGAGGACCCTAGTCAGGTCTACAATCGGGTAATGGTAGAGGGTACTGATTTATGGGAGTCAGTGTTTTCGAGGGCGAAAACTTTCCCAAGGGGGGAGTAGTGTGACGGAATTACATGGGGAGACCATTTGCCCCTTTGACTTTTCCCCCTGTTCCCTGATGCCTCTTATTGGGAACACTATTGTCTTAATTTATGTTAATTGACAACCCAATTAAGGGCTCTAGTAGATGGGATTAGAGCCTTGAGGAGGTGCTCTTTTATTTGGGTGATTTCTGGCCAGCTGCAATACTTTATAGCAGCTTGGGGAGCGCCTGTATTGAGCACGGGTGACTTTGGGTGTTTTTGGACTCACGGCGGGCGACCCAGGACGCCCTGCGCCCTGCTGTACAAATGACATGCGGTCGTGATATCAGTAATCCATTTTGCTTGTCGATTCTGTCATCGACACCTCCGGATCGCGCGGATCAAACCACACCCGCGTGACTGAGCTCGCAGCAACCCGGACTCCCGCGCCGTGGCCCTAGCGACCCTCTAGGGATCTGGGCCCACCACCTAGGAGTGCACCAAGCACGCGCCCCAAGCAAGCCACGGCCAATCGAGGCCGTGCAGGCCATTACCGGCCATCCGGGCACCAAGGCGGCGGCGACGCGCGATTTGGAAACTAGCACCCCATCAGGAGGCTCGGATGGGCGACCAAGTTGACGAAGGCGGCCGTGTAGTCGAATTGACATGCGACCCATGGCGCCCAGCTCGCATACTCCTGGAAGTAGCCAGAGTTGGGTCCCAAGGCCGCCGCGACGGTCTGGCCCTGGCCCGTCTCCCGTACGTCGAAGCAGGCCGGGAAAGACGTGAAGTCCGGCCTGGCAACCCGGCTATTGGCTGACCGGGGGAGTAAGCAGGGGTCCGAAACCCACGTGACCTCGATAGGTCAGTTAGGGAGGCGCTGGTTGAAACGAAGCGCCTGTGCCCGCAGCCATTGTTCGGCAGGGCTGGGGTTCATACAGAAAGGACTCGCCGCGAAGGCCGGAAGGTCAAACCACTCGGTGGTTCCGGGTTGTGCCAAAGTGTTGGGGCGAAGCGAAACAAGATAAAGGGGGGCGCCAAGGGTCGCGCCTAAAATAGCCGCTCCCACTTGCTGCCAAACTCCCCGCCAAACCCAAGGGCCAGCTTGACCGGCCCCCTTGGCTGCGCCCAAGGTACAAGGTTCAAACCAAGCACCCTTGGATGCGTCGAGCAGCACTGACCCCGAGTACAGGGGTGACAGAAACTGGCTTATGGGTGGCCCAAACTGTCCAAGAGGCGGAACGGCCCGACCTGGCCGTTACGCGCCCTCCCAATCGTCGCCCTTTGCAGAAACCCATTAACAGGATAGTTAATTCCATATCCGGAGATCTCCCGGCTGTGCCCATTGTCTTGAGAGCTAGACCACTGTATTAAGCTTCATAAAGTGTGCTGGTAGCTTTCAAGTACAAACAGAGCGCGGGAGTGATACTGGATGTTGGAGTGATATAGAGATTGTGAATTTATACGTTCTCATGCATGGCAACACATTGGTTGGATTGTAGCACTACCTGCGGTTCTCATGGAACAAATCCTGCACAATGTGTTGCTGGACCCAAATAGGGCGCTACTTGAGGGTAAATGAGGGGTGTGGGCAGCCAATGTACCAAAGAAGAGTACTACAGTGATATGCACTCATCAATATACGGTGCCAGACACAACAGAAGACGAGAGCGCACAACGCTGAACACCAACATTAAACACTCGGTGACCAAGATTCGCCTTTTATTTTAGCGTATTCCAAAGTTCCCTTAAAAGGTTCTTGAATTTGGCCGCTCCACTGGCCCACCAGCCATTACGAAGCAGATGCCAACGGCCGCCCCTGGAGGATGCGCAAATGCCCACAACAATAGCTGGCACCCCTGGTCGTCCTCTGCCACACACGCTCCGATGCAGAGATGGATCTGATAGACCATCAGTAGCCCCCACAAATTATGGCTGCATCAGCCCTGCAGGTGCTACTGAAGGACAAGCATCCCACAGCGCAAAAGCCCAGGCTCCCATTTAGCTACGTGGAGGGAGCCAAAAGCAGCAATGACCAGGACTGCCCTGCCACATGCACATGCAGTGGCCAAATGCCTCAGCATCTCCTCGCCGGATATTGGGGTCATTGGCACATCCGTCAAGTGTGCCCCCTTGTCAACCGTCCAGACCGTTTGCTACCCGTCATCACTTTGCACAAAGCACCACGCTCCAAACGCCTCCGTCCCTTGCCCAAGCCTGCACCAATTCCTTTCATGATCCAAGCCAAACGTACATTTTGAAAGCCGCAGCGAAATCACTTGCTTTATCTCCTTTGACCAAGGCGTCGCTGTTTTATACCCAAATTCAGCTCCAGAAACCGGGGAATAAAAAACGGTGCCCGTAGGCGCACTGGCTCAATTAAAAAATTGCCTTGCTCTAACTTTATCTTGTCCTTGCCGAAGCCCACCGAACAAAACATAACTGGATTCGACCCTGCAACCTGGTTGGCCTGGGAAAGAGAGAGGCAATCAGCCAGCCAACACGAGCCAATCCATCCTGTGCCATCTGTCAATCAATCCCACCGCCCATGGCCATGCTGGACTCCTGAAATCCTCGTGAGTGGCTTATCTCCCATATCTACTTGCATATCCATGGGACCCCCGAGCCCCACCCAACCCCACAAGCATCCCCGCCCCCAAAGCCTGTCTTAGCTCATAGACTCATTCTTTTGAGAACATGAATTGGGATCGACGAGCGAAGAAGACCCACGGCTCACCCAGCACCAGAACTACACGCCCCCCAATTCCGCCTCTCGGCGCCTAGTCCATTGGTCAATGCCGCCGGCCAGTCCGTGGGCCCCTGCTCGTCCTCGACAACACTGGCACAGCCATCAAAAGCCAATTCGGCCACAAAATGGGCCACTGGCACAAGCTAACCTCTTATTCAGCTTCCACCACACTCCCACAAACCACATCCTCGCACAAACCGCGAAAAAAAACCTCTTCCAAGAGTTCCACTGTGAGGGCAAGTCCAACACTCCTCATGGTTATGCTTGTGACAAGTTCGTCAAACAGAATAAGCAATAATCAAACACAGAAATACAACTTCCGATGCTGACACATCTTGGCATATCTTGGCGATGGTGGCTCAATGCCCCAGCACACTTCTTGTTGTTGCTGCTGCTTGCCTGCTGCCAAAGGCGCACACTTATGCTTCAGTCCCAGAATGCTCCCCAACTGCTACCGGCGGCCGCCGCCGGTCCACCACCAACTTCGTTTTCCTTCTTCCCCAACCTGCCTGTGCTCTGCGATGCAGATGTCAGTGCAGGCACGCTTGCCTCACAAATCCGTCTACATGCCTCTTGAGCACACACCACAATGCCCATGCAACCTCGCTTTCCCATCAATAACTATCAAGACTGCAGGGCCTCAGGTCCTGTGTACTCATAGTGTACATTGGACATCCTTCTGCGGCCAGCGATCATCAAATTTCCAAAACGCGAAATCGTTCTCCTAAAATCGGATGTGACAAGCAGCATTATTCATCGACAAAGGCCCTCTGCACCCATCCTTCACCTCCAGCCTCTATAACGCACTCCCCCCAGGCAGACATCCTAACTCAGATCAAAACAGTCCACTGAACGCTCCCAATCACCTAGCCCCCAGCCAAGAGGCCTGCCTCTACCAGAACAGACCGGCCTCAAAACGCCAGAGGCTCGAAGGTGAACGGGATCTGGATCTTATGCGGAACCGAGTCGTCTTATCCAAGGCACTGCCACGAGCCTTGTGAGCAACCCGGCGACCAACAAGTCTTTGTTCCTGGGGTATGCTTCCAAAAGCCAGATTGCGCTTTTGACCCCGGTATAAGGGAGGGCCCAAAGACTGTGGAACGCGCCAACAACCGTAAGGACCATCCTGATGATAGCTCATTGCCCACTGCCCCAATTCGCCAACGCTTTCATGGATGGTTCACCCAGCGAAGGCTCAAGCGCTTCCCTCACGCCACTGTCCACTAACCTCAACACCAGGGCCCATGTCCAGATTTCTTAACTCATCTGTGCAAAACGCATCTTTGCAAATGCCAATCATCGCCTATTTCCTCTTCAACCACAATGCAAAAACACAGTCCCCCAATGCCAAACTTCACGTTGGGCAAGCAGCCCCAACGCACACTCCCATTTATTGAACTCGCTGCCAATAGGTCAAGCTGGCAGTGTTCACCCACCCTCTGCCCCAAAACTATGCTCCGCGATCAGCAGCGCACATTGGCATGCATCGCCTGCTCACCAGCGATACCCCTGCCCGCCACGCCGCTGGCCCGGCTGTCCAGCATCTGCCCATACTGGCCAGCGGTGTAGGACCCGCCTATCTCACCCGAGGCCGCGGTCTGCAGGCCACAGTCGTAGTCGCTGACGCCAGCTGCACAGCGCACATTCAGCGTTGGAAACTGGACCAAGTCCAACGGCTGGCGACCAAAGGCATCCATGGCACTCATGCTCGACCTTGAGGAGCAGGTGGTGTAGGCATCAGAGGTGTTGGCCTGGCTGCTGGAGTACATGTAGCTCTGATCGACTGGGCCACGTGGGGACATCTGTGGTGCAGGCATCGAGCCGGCACGGGTTGCGGCACCGGGGTACTGCACAACCTTGCTCTGGTACACAGGCACCTTGACGATCACGGACTCTCGCTGGCCGTAGCCCTGACCCGCACGGCTATTGTTGGCCATCTGGTCAGCCACGCGCATGCCGTGCTGCCGGCCTGGGACAACAAAAGTGTGTCAATGCGGGTCGCTGCTGCTTTGAATGTCAAGCCTACTTCTGGGACTTGTTTGGCTTTTATGCAAAGAAGGAATGCATATGACCGAATACAGCAATGGCAATACCACACACCGCTTATGGCACCTAGAACGTCCTGAGTTCACATAATCAGACAGTATCAATTTTTTGGGGCTGGGAAAGCACCATGACAGTGATGAACCAGGTGAACAACATAGGAAAGCCAGAGGGGCAAGACACCACAGACTTGCAACAAAAAGGCAATGCCAGCCAGACAAGCAGGCGCGTATATAAGGGTTTCTCCACAGCACTTTTTTTGATCTTGTTCAGCAGATCCCCAGACTGCACAGAACCATGCATCCAACAAGACCAACTTGCAAGTGCGTTGTGGGCAGCAGCATGCACATGTTATTAGAAGATCCTGCAGCCATTCACATGAATGCCATGCTTTGGCCAAAAGACACAGCATGCACACCTAGTATCTGATTCCCCCCTCTTCACTCCTTACCATACTGCGGTGTCTGGCCAAGGAGCTCCTGCCAGCCGCAGGTGGCCTCATCGACCTCGGGAAGGGGCTCGCTTGCTGCCCTCTGGTTGAGAGGCAACACCTGACAATGCATTCACTGTCAGTGCTGGTGCTCAAGCAGTAACGGCAAACACAATGAGAAGCACAGCACAGCAAAACAAAACAGAAAAGTGGCAGCCCCAACCACGAACAGAGTGTCCTGCTGGCCAGGCTGGCCTTAGCACACCAGTTTACACACTGCCAAGGCCACCACACAAAATTGAAAAATGCATTGGATAAAAATGTGCCCATCCTCACCTGCCAGGTGCAGGAGCCTCGATTTGCAAAAGGAAGGCAAACACAACACAAGCAATTTGAGGTACAATGCACTCACCCCTCTGAGCTCCCTCGATCCCATGAGCTCCCTCGATCCCATGAGCTCCCTGGACCCCATGAGCTCCCTGGACCCCATAAGCTCCCTTGACGACGACTGCCTACAAAGCATGGCATTGAGGTCTGGCTTCATTTCCATGTGCGTCCTCTGGTCGACCTGGCCCATTTCGATGGCCTGACTGTACTGCCCAAAGGGACTGGCCTGAACACCGTACTCGTTGAAGGTGTCATTCGCGCACATTATCGGCGCCCATGTCGAGTCCATGCCATCATCGACCAGGGCTCCAGAGGTGGCCTCCAGAGGGCCGGACGACAGCAGATCAGCCACCTTGGACGTCCCCAGGGTGGGGCTCATGATGACAGTGTTGCCAAGGTCCTTGTGGGAAAAACAGAAAAGAATGTGAAAACTGGGAAGGACACGAGGACCATTGGTTGGGAACCTCCACACAGGATAGGGATTGCACAAACAGCTATCACATAAGACTGATGAGCAATTGCAGGATGGTCAACTGCTGGGTGGGCCAATGACAGACAGTCATAAACATCAACAGTTCTAAGAGCTTTCTGTGCACCGCAGATCCAATGTACGCTCACATCAGCTTAGGTTTTGCCGATGTGCAGATCGACGCTAAAACTTCAGCAATTCCGCTGCCAGAATGTGAGGACCAAAGGGACAGGGAACACTGAAAGCAAACCCACCTCCATGGTGGCGCGATCCCGTGTGCGGTCCTTGTTGGTCCAGATCGGCGGCAGCAGCATGGCGTGGATGTTGTCAGCGATGGGCACCAGGGTGCCATCGTCGTCGCCAGATGACACAAGCGTGTCCAACATATCCCGCTGCTGTCGGTGCTGCTGTTGAGGTACACATGTCACTATCAGCCAAATCGCACAACAAAAGGTCCCACACGGCACACCGATGGTTTATACACATTGCTGCCCAGTGTGAACTCTTGATCCGCCCAGCTGATAGTCTGAGCTCATAGTGAGCGCTGGGTACCCCAAGGCAGGGCACTCATGAACTGCTCGGCATGCTTTACCAGAGAACTGCTGGAAGAGCCACACTACCACCATAGGGGTATTTTCCTTTCTTTAGTTCATTGGCTTGTTCTCAGCAAGGGCATATCTTCAACCTTTGCCGCATATGCCCTTAATCTTGCCGCCTGCAACACAGAAGCCCCACCTGGAATCGCCCCAATGAAGATACAAGCTGACTTGGGGTCAACCGCATGTGATGGTGTTGTGGGGAGAGGGGTCGCACCTTCACTGCACGGGACGTGCGGATGGACTTCTTCAGGGCAGTCCCAAAGTCGGCACCCTTGCTCACCATCCGCAGCGCCTCTATGACTTGCTCCTGCAGCCAACACGCACCACGGAAACCTCATCAAAGCAGGCCCCATGTAGCTCATCACAGTGGCAGAAGGCAATGCTGCTGCCTTTCAGAGCCCTTGAGTCACTAAGTATGGCACTTCCAGCCACATTCAGAACCCCGAGCATGCACTAGGGCTTGCAGTTGTGAGATCGAGAAATCGCAGCAAACTCACACCTCCAGACAAAAGCGTTCTGAATGCAAGGCAGGGTTGGTGATGGTTGCGGCTGCATACAAAAGTGTGGCCGCACTCACCATCGACAGAGTATCTAGGAAGGGCCCGAGGCGAAGGTAGCCACTGGGCTCGAAGTTTGTGTGTGCCTTGCTGCCCCTTAGCTTCAGGCCCATGATGTCGTGTGCCTTTGCTGCGTCCACTGCCTCCTTGAAGCCACCCAGATAGAGCTGCTTCTTGTTGTACCAGATGTGGGACTCCCACTTCTTGGTCCGCCTGCACAAAGACCATTATCCATGGTATCATAACATGCAATAGGTATCCTGTCCATATCGTACACACGAGGCACCAAGGCCCAACAGCCTGCCAAACGCACAAGCAGCGAAAGGCAGATGGATATCGAGCAAACCATATAGTCGCAGGGGATGTTCAACCAGGTTGACAGGGAAAGGCGTTTTCCTGTTTTTCTTGCAATCGCTGTACTTTGCACCTTTCCGTCTGCCACGCCATATCACGCTTCACATCCTCGTCGAAGCCCCAACGGCTGTCCCGACGGGGCCACGCTTTTCAACTGATCGTTTGGAAACGAGGGTGCGACGGAGGGGCCATCTTGAGACAGCGGTAACGCTTGTAACTCTCGTAACGCGCGTAACGCAACCCGACCGGCCCCAGCAATGCAAGATAGCCGAGGAGTTGAGAACCCCTCGACCACATTAACGCGCGTCCTCGGCAAACAAAAGCGCCGTCGCCAGATAGGAGCATCAACGCCGCCCCGCCAACGGGGGAAGCTCGCCGGCTGGGATTGCCAGCAAACTCCTGGAAAGCAAAAAACTGCCCTCCCAGACGCAACCTCCGCCCGGCCCGACTTCCACCCGGCCTCCGACCAAAACCTACAACCCAAAACTACTGACGTCCGGCACAACCCCAGCTCGCCCCGTGCCCCCCCCGCGCTTCATCAATACTACTCCAAAGTACAGTTCCAAGGGTGGACCCCCGATCCCCCCGATCCCCGCCAGCACGCGACCCCGTGGCCCGGTCCGGCCCGGGCGTGTCCGCCCCACGCCGTCCCATCAATCGGCTCGTTCAAGCCAACTCATCATGCCTCCGCCCACTGGCCTTCGACAACATCCCTGGCCCACCGAGATCACGCCCGAGAGGGCATTACGCAGGCCCACCGCCCGTCAAACACCGCGAGGCCCCAAAAACGCCGTGCGCCCGAGGGTCCGATGTTAAATGCGACGCGGGCGGCCACATCAGGCGGACAAACGCCCTCGCCACACGCCGCCACCCCATCGCCCCCTCACTAAAACGCATCGTCGCGCCTCGAGAAAGATTCCGGAGCGCCTGAGCGCCCCAACCCACCACCGGCACCGCCACCAAATCTGCCCGAGCCCAGCCAGCGCCCCCACCCCCCACCCCCACCCTGTCGGCACCCCCACCCACAAGAACTTCCCCAAAAATGTTCCCGCCGGCGCCGCAACCGCCGCCCGGGCGCCCAAGCGGCGCCCGCGATCACGCGCCGGGAAAATCCAGGCCGAGGCCATTGTCGTGCCCGCACCTGTGGCGCGTGACCCCGCGGAACTGCGAGCTGGAGCTGGGCGGCCCGCGCCGCGACCCTAGCGCGTTGGCGTTCAGCCTCAACTCCTCCACCGCGCCGCGCGGCGCCCCTTCCAGCCGGAAGTACGCCCCCAGGCCCGCCACAAACTCCTTCATCAGCCGCTCGCCCTCGCCGCTGTCCCCGTCCCCTTCAGCGGATCCCCGCTCGGAATGGGGAGACCTCCGGCCGCGGGCGGGCGCCACGGATCCCCCTGTGGACCCCTCCTGGCCCAGCGCCTGCCCATTGCCCCAGCCGGGTTGCCCAAAACCCATTCCGCCCCCCGCCTCCTCCTTGCAGGCCACCATCCCGCACACCGGCGCGATCGGCGCCATTGCGCCCACGCCCGTCCCCAGAGCCGAGCTGCTGCTCGACCCCGACGCCGGGCTGTCGCCACGCACGAGCTGGTCGCCGAAATGCGCCGGCTGGCACGGCGCGCCGGCGAATAGCTGCGCCATGGGCCGCGGCGAGAGCTTCGCCTCCGCCTCCTGGCGCTGCATTTCGGGATGCCGATCCGCCCTTCGACCCGACGGTCGAGTTCCGGGCTGCCGGTTTCCTTTCGGGGGGGGGGCCGGGGGGGGCCTCCGGGTTTCGGGGGGTCCTCTGTTTGGAGGACCGGGCTCCAGGCCAGGGATTATAGCCAGGCCGGGGTTCTTCATGTCCATTCGCATGGGCAGTACGCTTTCTGAAAAGTGACGAGCGAGTCGTGAGCCAAGCGTAACGCGCGAAATGTTGAGGCCACCTCGTTTTGCGATCCGCTGATGACGCGCCGGCCGCTGTGCCAAGAAGCTGGAGTCTGCGCTGCAAGTCCGACCCGCGAGGGGGCTCTATTTTAGGAGAACGACCCCAGGTAATGCGCCACACTCTGGACAAACTCCGCACCAGGCGGTTGCTCTGCAAGGGGCCGTGCGCTGGAGGGTGTGTCGGAGTGGGCGAGGCGCGAAGCGACGCTGTCGGCGAAATCCACGGAACAAACTGGCGGGGGCCGCGCGACGGGCCAAGCCCCCGGGCGCACCTGTGGGTCGTGTGGCGTGGGGCGAGATTGCGGTCCCGGGGATGTGAAGAGCCACTTTCTGTCGACGGGTACCGCGCTGCTGGAAGCCAGCTTGGCGGCAGCGGCGGTCACGCTGGCTGCAGGTGGGCGTGTCACGACCGTGACAAAGGCGCTTGGCCCGTTGCCGCACATTGGACGGCGGCCGGACGCTGGGCGCGTCCGCCCGGCACGCCACGGCATCGCCCCGCCGATTGTGCGGCGGTGGCCGCTGGTCGACCAGCGAGACTGGCCAAAGTCGAGCATTTCTGGCATTGGCTGCCAGGGTTTGTTTCTTGTCGGATTCTTGGGCACCGAGGATGCGGGGCAAAAGCAATGCTGAGGGGAGGCGTAACGCGTGGTTTTCGCGATAATCTACATAGTTTTCTTTTGTTGCTGTGGAAGTCGTAGGGTACAAAGGCCAAAATTGTATCAACAATGACAATGATCACTTAATCCGAGTTCTTGGCGCCACGCTCGCCTGTGCTTGCGAGCTGTTATCCATACACTGGCCGTTCACGCGGCTGCGTGTGTGCATGCAAGTCAGTTTGCAGTGCTGAACGATGGCAGCGTCGCGCGGCACTCACCGTCTGTGGACTTGTTCATTTCGAGCAGATTCTGTCGTGGCTTAGTCAGCATCAAGTTACAGAAAATCATGCGTCAGAAACGAAATTATCCGCGTTTAAATGTGACCAAATCATGCGAACCAAAACGTCGCTTCGTCGCCACTTATCCTTCTAATTCGTCTTCAATTGTGGTGTTCACGTTATATTGATATACTCGATTGATGAATACACAATTGTCGACTTGCTCCTCATCGCTTGGTCAGCTTTCTAGCAGAAGCGACTGGCGATGGTGCCAGCGCTGGTCCCGCGGCATACGTCACGAATGGTGGCCGCGGGTCGCACTGTGTGTCTGTCGCCGACAAACAACAGGGTTTGCTGAATTCAGCTTAAATTCAACTTCACTTCGAAGTGGCAGGACAACAAAACATTACAGGGTTTGCTGAAGTGACAGCACAACAAAACATTACATGGTGTGCTGAAGTGACAGGACAACAAAACATTACAGGGCTTGCTGAAGTGACACGATAACAAAATATTACTGCCAACTCGTAAACTTACTGACGGAACAACAGCTCAATTGTCGTGTCGCTTTAGTTTTTGATCGTTTGTTAGGTTTAAATGATGCTCTTGCAGAGGAAGAGGCGATTGATGTATTTATAACTGCTAATATGGTTATAACTGTCTTTCCTAACCCCTAAGATAAATGCCGTTACAGGGTAATTGGAAGTGAGCATGGTTATTATGTATCAAAGCGCTTACTTTACGCGAGGAACGCTTGAAATGGTGGACCACCGAAGAGTGGTGACCAGGCTTGGTTTTTACTTTTACGTTTTTGCTTTTACGTTTTTACGCAAAATAACCTATTTTTGCGGCTATTTTTGCGTTTGTGCGGCTCCCTGGCACACGTAGGCTACACGACAAAAGTTGCGTACAATGATCAGTCTTCTACCATCTCCAGCACCCGCAACACAATGTCCACCTCGCTCTTGGCAAGGGCGATAATGGCTGTGAGGGCGAGGGAGTGGTTAATATATAATATGTGATATATGGTGTTTTCTATGGTGGCAAGTAAAGGTGTTGACTATGGTGTTATGGTGAATGCACATGGAGACAATGGAGATGGGAGACGAACATTATTACGGTGACTGTTATTTAGCTGGTACAATCATCTTGTAATGTATCTGGTTGCGGCCTCGCTTCTCGTGCCTGGGAGCGACCGTGCGTGAGCAAGCAGGAACTCTCGGTTATCCATGTCATGGTTTCGGAGCCGGGAACGGACCCTGGAGGTCCAGGTGTCCGATGGCGACGCGGGAAGCGTCGCCATCCTGTTTGTCGACCTCCGAGCACCGCCATTGTTTTGGCGGTGCTCGGAGTGGTGGTGCTGTGGGAGGCCATGGTGGACTTGAGGTGTAGGATGGAGGCCACGGCGTTGGATAGGCGTGACTCGGTTCAGGCGGCTGTGGTTGGGTGGCGGAATGGGGAGTGGAGATTGAGGGGATTGGCACCCCAGCGACCCGGACATCCGATGGCATGGATGCCGGGCCATGCGTCGAACCCAACCACCCTTGGGATGGGAGCCGCGACCCTTCTGTTCCCGGGGGTAGCGGCTCGCCGAGTGGCGCAGCGGGGGAGGCAGCGGACTGTGCGGCAGAGGGAATGGAGGGGAATCAATCGGAGGCACCGGATGGCGAGTGCTGAGCGGTGGGTCAGACGGGTGCAACCGAGCGGGTTATTGGCGGGTACGGAGCCCATTTGGGCTCCATGGCGAGACCTCGGTTCGACGGACGGATGGAAAACAGGCGCAGAAATGGGCACCGGGTCGGCGAGGCATCGGGAATCGGTGTGGCCGGAGCGGCATGGCAAGGCGACGCCCGCGGAGGGGGCGATTGCCGACGGAAGCTTGCGGACCGGCGCGGCATCGTGGTGGGCGCCGTGCGGCTCGGTGGGCCGGTGCAACCAGTGTGGCCCAGCGGTTTGGCGGAACCCACGCGGTTCGGCGACCACGGTGATGCACATTCCGGATCAGGCGGAGGTGCGCGCAAGGGAGGAGGCGCCTCGAGAGCCGGCGGGGTCGGAGCGGCGCGGCATGGCGATGCCCGCGGAATGGACAGTTGGAGGCGAGTGCGCGGGGACCGATGCTGCGGGATGGCAGTACCCATGCACCTCGACGATGCAGCGAAGCCGATGCAACGCGGCGGAGCGGCGAGGCCCTCGCGTTTCGGCGGGTGCGGCGCTGAGCGCCGTGCAGCGGGTGTGGGAATGGCTCACCAACAACCGGCGGCATGGCGACTCCCTGACGGGCGGCGGCAGCTCCTCGACATGGTCGGCAGGTGGGCGTGCGCGCGCGTGGGCCGATGGCGAGCGGACGGAGTGGAGGGAAACGGGGAGGGCGACAGCGGGGAGTGACGGAGGCCAGGGGCACGGGACGTGGGGGAATGCGGGTGCGGGGAGCAATGTGGGGGACAGGCGAGTCGGTCAGGGGTTAGTCAGCTGGGCCTGCGGCAAGACCAGCTTCCGTCCAGTCACACCACCTTCGGGTGGCAGCAGCGGGGGGCGCGGGGGGGGCGCGATGGATCGCGGCCCCATTACAGTAACGGGTGTCACCAAAACCCGTTCTCCTGTCAACGGGTGGGGTGGCGGGGGGTGTGGGGAAGAACGATCGGCCTTGAATAACGCAAAAATGAGCGGAAAATGGGGAACTTTGGCTGAAGCGGTGCCAAAGGGGAGAGAGGGGGATTCCGGGCAAGTGGAATCCAAGGAGGTTGCACCCCATAGTATGGCAGTTCTGAGTGCTAAAGTACTGAAAAAAAAAATTCCTCAAAAAACCAGTGACCTGACTAGTACTAAGGCCGACACCACCTGTTGCCCTAATGCGGGGAGTGGAAGTAGCGGGCGTTTTGACCGCAAGTCCATTATTGAGCAGTTGTTGCTCATTAGTGGCATAGAACGGAACCCTGGCCCAACCATGGACGGGGGGTGAGAATTCCTGACTATACTCACCCAGGAAACCGCCACTTGGATTTTCGACGCCGTGGTTTGGGGGGCAAAAGGAGACAAGTTCAGTGATCGTGTGCGATCATTGTTGAAGCAATTCCGGCCAGGTTCGATGCCCCACCGGAGAATAGCCCATCTAGCAACGGCACTTCGTGATACGCGGGGGGACGGTGTCACAGACAAAACCCGTTGGGAGGAATTGGTCAAGCAAGTCCATGCCCTTCTCCCTCATAACGCGCTGTCGCAACAGGACCACTTGGCGCGCATGTCTTGCAAGTCCCACGAACCATGGATGGAGTTTATGGACCCAAGATATGATGGATAAAGATTTGGATTATAACCAATGACAAAACAGTGCTTTTCGACCCCATGGAAGTTGACAACCACATACGGCAGTCTCACGACCCATGGGCACTTGATACCAGTATGGACCAGGACTACGGGTTTCGCCAGGGCGACGGCCATACTCGGCGTCCTGTTCTACGCGGCGACGCCATTCAATTTAAGAATATTGATGGCCCTCGCAGCCTCGTGACTGCGTGGAAGAAACTGGTCAGCACATCTGCCAGTCTTCGCAGGGAAGCCGAGTCCTATCTCTCTCACAGTCATCGGTGGCAGGGACGCGGATTGCGCGACCATGAGGTCGACTCCCATGATGGTTTTGGTGACGGATCATCCATAGGGGATTGGGGCGCCTCACACCCGCCAGACACTTTCCAGCGTCTTGAGGACCAATGGACCTTTGACGATGGTGAGGGCGATTTCTGGAACCCGCCAGATCCACAGGACACTTTCTACGACTGTGAAGCCCCCCCGCTGGATCCGACCCCAGACAGTTTCCACCAAGGTGAACATTGTTGCCAAACCTTTGCTGTCCCTGAGGTGTGCCGCGCTGTCCACAAGAACCCCA